CACTGGAGCTCATACAGGCTGTGTCAAACAATTACAACCCATACTTGATGGGGATCCCAACCAGAAAAATCTTCCTGAACTGTCTCTTCTGGACTTCACACAATCCCCCAACCTCGCCACGCTCATCATCAAAAGCAAGCTCCCCCACCACCTCAAAGCACCACCAGACCCTGCCAGAACAACAGAAGCGAAACCTTAGAACGTATCTCCGCTGCTACAGTGTTCAACACTCCATAGTACACACTTTTCAAGATCCATGGTTCCTACCCATGCCAATCACAATATGTGGGGTACCTCATTCAATAGCCTCTATGTGGGTGAAACCAGACAAGCACTATGCTCTCGAATGAACTCACACAGGAAAGTGATCAAAGACAAGAATATTGTCACCTGTGGGTGAACACTTTTCCTAAAGCAAACACTCTATACCTCACCTCTCCATCCTCATCATCAAAGGAAACCTGTACATCACCTTCAAAAGATGAGCTTGGGGGTTTAAATTCATAACTCTGCTAGACCGTAAAACTCATGGACTGAACAGAGACATTGGATTTATGGTGTATAACCACACCCACCCACCCACCACGATTTTTTTCTCTTTTCTGGCTGGAGAGGTGTTAATAGTCACCTTCAATGGTCCTTTGAAATATGAAATACTAAACAACCTGTTCCACCTTGTATTTAGCTGTGATACTGTGAGTACATTTGTCAGACCTGAAGAAGAGCTCTGTGTCAGCTCAAAAGCTTGGGTCTCTCACCAACAGAAGTTGGTCCAATAAACCCTCCTTGTCTCTCTAATATCTTGGGACTGACATGTCTACAACACCACTGCATATAAAGAACTGCAAAACACAAAATGTGAAGGTCAGGAAATTATGAGCTATAACAATAATACTTAAGTATGTTCAGTGTTAAATATGCAATATTAAAAAAGGAACTTAGCTGACAGTTTCTTTAGGTCATGTCTAATGCTAAGTGTTGAATGAAATAGTAGAGTAAATGGATATTCAAAATGTACAGTCCTAGTTTCACACAGCTCAAGAGGACAATGAACCATTAGATATTCTTCAGTCAGTACTGCTTCTACACAGCCGGGTTCATTGTTTCATAATTCCAATTATAATACAGTTCAGTAGAGTCTTTCACAGCTTCACAGATCACAAAATGTTTGACATCTGCTTACGCTCTACACATGATGAACCAGTTCACTGTTAGGGAGCAATTACATTATTTTCTTGAAAGAAGTTTTGCAGAACTGAAAAAAAACCTTAGTTACACAAATACACAGGCAGATTCTCTTGTATTATTTTATTGTGTATAAATGTACTAGTTGAATATTTTCTAAAAATACAGCAGCTAAGAACTTCTTTATATCAGGTAACTAAGAATAAATGCACGTATCCCAGGAGAATAAAACACACAAAATATTCCATGTTACCAGATGATTCTATAAGTAAATAATAATTATGAGCATAGGATATATTCATACATATGTTAAAAATACACAGTGCAATAACTGCCAAGGAAATAAGGAACATAAGGTTAAAAATGAAGGCTTTCAAGCTTGACAGCAAATATGAAGATTAAATAAGGAAAACCACTACAACGTTAGGTACATTATCAACCCCTAAGATTACCAGGACCAAAAGGTCCCTTAACATGAATAATTAAATTCCAGTACTCTGGTAGCAAGCAGACTTTTGAGAGATCAAGATAATCTCCCATATAGTTATGCATTTCAAGGCAAGAAGGATTCTCTTTGCCAAGATTTGAGGTAAAAAACAATGCAGCTCAAGCATAAGTCAATCACACGTAGTGGCCTGAGAATTCTGGAATGTAGTCAATATTTTGTTGCAAATACATTCTAACATTATGAAGCCACCAGACAGCTAGGTTTTTATCAGAGTGATACCTAACTCACAATAATACTCCCTGTGCTGAGTTTGCCCTCTTACTGCGCAAAAGTGTGACAGTAAGACTGGACAGGTACTGCCCTGCAGTTATGATCTTCATTTCAACCTTCCCTATCTCAATACCACCAATTCCAAGGTCATCTTTACCCTGCGGTAAATTAGTGCCATAGAAGTCCCCTCGTCCACCAGTTCCTAGGAGTATAAGCTGCACATTTCCCAAAAATGTGGAAACTTTTAATTACAGCCATATTAAATAATTAAAACGGTCATCATACAAGTCATTATATATTCACACCTCTTTACACTGTGCGACCTAAAGTAAGTTAAGCCTTAAGATAACTATGTGGACATCTGTCAGACTTAACGCAAGCCTGCAAAGTCATCATGAAATGTAATTACCCACTATTAGCTAACACATCAAATCATTTGCTTTTTACCATGATGATGGAGAAATGAGGGGAAAGGCTGATGTCCCACTTGCTATTCCTAAAAGAACAACTCTTCCTGGGTGAATACAATTTTGCAAGGCTGATATAATCACCAGACATGTACAAAATAAAAGTCAAGCTTCTGCTAATTGCATGAACAGGTGACAATTTACCCTGTAATTTAAATATTATTCTTTCCTTGCCACAGACACACAAAACCATATGAACATGTAAACACAGATGCAGACACAAGTTGTAGTGAAACTAACAGAAAAATCCCTGTAAAAAAAATGTGTTTATTGTGCTAAGAAAATGTAACAAGAGTCTTTAATACTGAAATCTGTTTCCAGATATTTTACCCTTATCAGAGCATAGAATATCTAACTGAAATGTACCTCCTGACTGCAGCTTATTATCTGTATAACTGGTATGTGTGCACATGTTTACGATACCCCCAAAGAACAAAACATATTTTGCATCTTTGTGTATCATGAAAGCTGTATGAACTAGTGAAATAATCTTTGCAAATCAAAAGAGAACAAGAACTTGCTGATAACTCATCAAGGAAACTAAAATGCTTAAGTCCTGGGTATGAAATTATCTAAAACCTGCAAAATCCATTCCACTGTCAGTGACTTAAAAAAAAAGAATTTATATCAGTAACTAGTCAGAAAAGTAACTTACAGAAGTGATTGTAGGGTTCCTACTTATTTCAAAGTAACACTCACTCCGTTTTTCTACCAGAAAGAACCATTTTACAATCACTTCTCCCCACTATACCCATATGAATATTTCAGATACATTTAAGATACATTCAAAAAAGAACTAGATAAATTCATGGAGGATAGGTGCATCAATGGCTATTAGCCAGGATGGGCAGGGATGGTGTCCCTAGCCTCTGTTTGCCAGAAGCTGGGAATGGGCGACAGGGGATGGATCAGTTGATGATTCCCTGTTCTGTTCATTCCCTCTGGGGCACCTGGCATTGGCCACTGTCAGAAGACAGGGTCCTGGGCTAGATGGACCCTTGGTCTGACCCAGTATGGCTGGTCTTATGTTCTTAAGATTTATTTACTTATAGAATCCTAGTCATTGCTAGCCTTTAAATGTAAAAGCAGCATTATTAAGATTACAGAATACCATAGTTAGCAATTTCTAACAGTTTAAATATCACTACCTTACTGGGAGATTTCAGAGTAGCAGCCGTGTTAGTGTGTATCTGCAAAAAGAACAGGAGTACTTGTGGCACCTTATGCCACAGGTACTCCTATTCTTTTTACTGGGAGAGTGACCGTGGTCTGGGAAGGTATAAAATGACTGATTCAAAGTTACTGCCATCTTCAAGTGTGGTTCCACTCTGAAAAGTAGTTGTAGGAACGGCATTGCTGAGCTTCATGTTCACTTTCAATGAATCCAGGTCAAATATGCTCAGTTTAAAGAGCAAAATGATGCTTTTCCTAGCTTGTTTGCACTGTTGTTGTAGCAGTGTTGGTCCTAGGACACGAGAGAGACAAGGTGGGTGAGGGAATATCTTTTATTGGACCAAGAACTGTTAGTGAAAGAGACAAGCTTTCAAGCTACACTCTGAGTACCTTTCCCAGACCTGACGAGCAGTTCTTGTAGCTTGAAAGCATGTTTCTCTCACCAACAGAAGTTGGTCCAACAAAAGATATTACCTCATCCACCTTGTCTCACTTTTCCTAGCTTTGAGTCCAGCAACTTCACCTTATCTCCAAGAGTCACACTGGGATCTGTCATTCTCACGCATAATCATGCATATAAGTGGTTCTACAGACCAAATTATGGCATCAGTTACTCCTTTCAGCCCCATGGTATTTAGATGATGCCCTCAGTGACATCTGTGCCAGCCACTGTTTTCAGTTAGAAGTGATTGAAAGTTAATAAAGCGTTCTGTTGATGATGCAAAAGAAGGAATGGAATCCAGTTCAATCCCACCTAGCTGTGGGGGCTTTGAAGGGCTAACAGATGTGAAAACCTCTCTGTCGCGCTTCAGTGCGCAGATCTGATCTGACTACACACAGGAGAGCAGATCTAGGGAACGAGAAGAGCCATTTACACACAGTTGCATTTTAGAATAGAACCACACTTTAAGGCAGATGGGGGAAATTTCATTCTCAAGGCAAAAAGGCGATCAGCTAGAGGCAGGGTTCATGAAGGAAGCATGGACAACAATAAGGCACTCAAATGAGCTAGGCAAAAGCCCACACTCAAAATAAACAGAGCCTCCCACCCCTCCACCCCACCCCAAAGTGTTTTCCAACCAAATATGCAAACTTGTCATAAGGCTCAAAATCTAGCATTGAAGGGCTAATGTACTGATCTCACTCACACTTGAGTGACCTCAGTTATTGGAGTCTTTCCCATTTACTAGCTAAGGTCAAGATTTCTCATTTGTTCTCCAAAATGACTTAAACAAATCTACTCCATATCACTTCTATGGTCTAAAGACAGACTTCGTTTCCATCAGAAACGAAGAGCTACTTAGCCATTTGTACACAAATTTCACCCATATGATGGACATTAAACAAAGTAAAACATACAAAGTAAGTGAAACATGATGAATATAGAGAAAACTATGGCTAGCAGAGGTAGATAAAAAAAGGCCATCTGGACCACTCTTTAGGATAAGTGTCACATTCCTCAAGAAACTGTTTTCAATCTTTACAAAGCATATCCATTTTCTTTTTGCCTATAGAAAGCTGTTTTCCTCCTCCCCCAAAGTAATCCTACAGTGGACATGATCTGTTATCTATGAGAGACTTCTTTTTGTGCCCCCAATCTGCTACTGTTGCTCTGTTGGGGTTATTACTTTGAAAAGAAGTTTTTAAGCAAAAGCGTTTCATGAGATACAAACTATGACATGGGATAGGGCGGTGAAACCTCACTCCCTTATTTTGCTTTAAATTCTTAAAATAACCCCTGATACATGTTATGAGTTATTGCTACTTGCTTTAAAAGTTTGGTAAAAAAATAAGTATGTACTTCTACAGAAAAGATGACCCACTGAAGGTAAAATGCCAAGCAGTAAACTCCAAATCCCTTTAAACGACTGACCATGAAATTCTATAGTGTACACACACACTACATACAGAATTTTAAAAAATAAAGTGTCTGTTAGTAACTTTTAGATATTGTAACATGTAAGGTCTCTTTTTAGGCTATCCTATGGGCTATGTTGGTGGGCAAGTTCGCTGGGTCTTGTTTCAATGTTCAGTAGGTGGTGGTTTCGGAAGGATGAACGGACGGTCCGATTCATTAGTGGCTGAAGCGGGCGGAAGTTGTCTACCATCCTCTTTTCTTCCTCCCCAGCTGAGGTAAAGAGCAGCATCCGAAACTCCTCAAGCTGGGAATGGCAAATGGTGAATATGAGTGACTTAGCAGTCCGAAGAACAACCGGAGTAAAAGGAATACAGTCTCCAAACCTGAGTGATCCTATCAGAGCTCACACTAAACTCAAGTACTGAGAGGTTTTGGCATTAACTTGCAGCATCTCTTTACCACCTGCTGGTAAAGATCATGTTCTCAACTATATCAATACAAGATATGAACTGCCAATCATCTGTCATCTTCAGGTGAACTACGTCTTTATTCACTTTTAACTTCTTGCCAACCCCGAGACAGTGAGGAGTGCTGAGTATTCATGGGTTGCATATGCACCACCTTTATATAAATCTTTCTGTACTTCAGCCTTCTTAGATTACATCCTGCCTGCAAGGTCTGTTCTCCTAATTCAGACACACACATGTTGATGCGTGGGAAACAGTAAGTTTCAGCAACAGTCACATGTGTTGCTGCTAGCTCTCAAAACCCAGGCATGCAGCAGATGAGGTTTTTAGCATAGTTTCTTTAAAGCCCACAAGGGAACTGCAGTGACCTGTTCTCTATCGGAAGGGATGGGATTTTAGTGAGAGAAAGGGAAGAGACAGTACAGAAGAGTCTGAATTGAAAAAGAGAACACACTATACCTCAAATTAAAGTTTTCTTCTTTGCTCTGTTATACCTTTCTCTTCCTTTCAAGCTACTCTAACTCTTGCATTCCCCCTTGTGTAAAATAAAGCCATATGCCCATCTATACCCCTATTCTTGACAATTTGGAATTTCTGAATGTATTGTTGGACATTAATGTTCCACGGAGTTTTTACTGGGAATTGACAATCTTGCTATGTGTCATTGTAAAATCCTCAATAACTTGGTGAAAATGAATGAATTTGCCTTCGGTGCCTCCTAAACTAGGAGGAATTGTCAGATCAGATCATGTGTCATTCAAATGGCACATTTTCCCTAGATCTGAAACAATCACTTTAATGTCACAATCATTTGGCCATTCTTGATGCGTTTCCTTGGATGGGTGGAGAATACTGAAGAGTGCCAGCAAAAACTGTAATTTTAGCCTCTTGCTGCTCCTAATCCCTGTGCCTCTTCTGTCAGTTTGGAACTTCTCCACCTCTATTTCATGCCAAAGAGCAGGATTAAACTGGCAACACGGGGCACTAGAATTAAGAGCAGCAGGGAATACACAGTGACAAGAACTGGATGAACGTTAGAGCACGAAGTATAAATAACAACCTAAAACTGCTAAGTTCCTATTTGAGGTGGCCTCTAAATAGTCCACTTGTGGGAACCCTTCCTTTTTTTGTTTTGTTTTTTTAAAAGAAAAGCTGACTGCCACTCTAACCAACTCTAAACAAACCTATCCCCCAAAAGGGCATTAAAAAAAGCTGATAAGCTTTGAGCTCGCTGCACCTTCAGCACTCAGAAGGAACCAAAAAGCAATTAGGGACTCTCCTCTTTTTTTTTAAAATATATCCTTGGAACCTTGCACAAGGGGAAGGGAAATGAGGGGGTGTGTTCCCAGCACTCTGTAGAAGATTCTGGAAGTTTATAATACAAGTGCCTGGATTCCACAAGCATGAACATGTATAGACAACACTCACTGCCACAGGAAGACACTGAGGCCAAGAATTTAGCAAGAGTCCAAAAAGGATTAGACATTTCTCTGGATAGTTAATGCTATCAAAATATTTTTGAAGAGCTATTAAACGTCATGCTTAAGCCAATCTCTTAGATCAGGATGAAACCTATTTGGGGGGCAGATTATCCCACATCTGCTACTGTGAGGTTCTTACACCTTACTCTGAAGCATCTGATGCTGGTTCTGTCAGACACAGGTGACTAGACTAGACAGACCTTGGGCCAGGTGGCAATCTCTATGTCCTCCGCCTTACTGGTAAGTAACTTCTCCTTCTGTGGAGTATTTATTTCCTCCTCTATCCCAGAAGGAATAAACCATCTTTATTAAAAAGCAAACTATTAGCATGATAAATACCTGATTTTGATCAACTTCTATTGGTGTCTTCTTAATAATCCAGGTGACAGATTCAGTAAGTGGTGGAGTGGTCAAAGATCCGTCATAGGTCCAATAATCCGGGCATGATGGCATCAAACAGGAGGGATCAAAGACATCAAACTCAACAATTGCATCCTAGAATCCAAGAAAATTCATGCATTAAATATTTTAACCTCTAAAAGAAAACCTAGAGGATATATTTGAAAAATCTAAACAGTGATAAGATTAGGAACAATACAATTGTTATTATCGATTAAATGCTATCAATATTATTATTGAGGAACCATAAAAAAAAGGTTAAGCACTTAAGTCCACTTTCAAAAGTCCTGAGTGTGCTTTGACTTCAATCAAAGGTGCAGAATGCTCAGCCTTTTGGAAATCAGGCCACTTACTTGGGTACCTAAAAATAAATGCTTATTTTTTTAAAATGTTGTCCCAAGATTATTTCAGTTTTATATGTTGAATGTGTTAACACTCAGAGTTGAGTATTCTGTAGAACAGGGGTTGGCAACCTTTGGCATGCGGCTCGCCAGGGTAAGCACGGCTGGCGGGCCAGGCTGGTTTGTTTACCTGCCGCGTACGCAGGTTCGGCCTATTGCAGTTCCCACTGGCCGCGGTTTGCCGCTCCAGGCCAATGGGGGTTGCGGGAAACGGCGTAGGCCGAGGAATGTGCTGGCCGCTGCTGTAGAATGTTCCTTTCGATGCACTGGAAGTTCTCTCTGAGCAGGCTTGGTCAACATTTATTTAAAGGGGCTTTCATGGCATATATATAAAAATTAGAGGGTCTATTACAGGAAGAGATGAGAAGAGATTAATAAGACTGTGACTTTTCATCTTGGAAAAGAGATGCCTCAGCGGGGATATGATGGAGGTCCATAAAATCAAGACTGGTGTGGAGAAAGTAAATAAGAAAAGGTTATTTACTCCTCCTCATAACACAAGAACTGGGGGTCACCAAATGAAATTAATAGGCCGTAGGTTTAAAACAAACAAAAGGAAGTATTTCTTCCCACAACGCACAGTCAACCTGTGGAACTCCTTGCCAGAGGATGTTGTGAAAGCCAATACTATAAGAGGGTTAAAAAAAGAACTAGGTAAGTTCATGGAGGATAGGTCCATCAACGGCTATTGGCCAGGACGGGCAGGGATGGTGTTCCTAGCCTCTGTTTGCCAGAAGATGGGAGTGGGCAACAGGGGGTGGATCACTTGATGACAACCTGTTCTGTTCATTCCCTCTGGGGCACCTGGCATTGGCCACTGTCGGAAGACAGGATACTGGGCTAGATGGACCTTTGGTCTGACCCAGTTTAGACGTTCTTATGTTCTAAGAGTGATTACAAGTCACTAGGTTGATAGCTTTTCAGTACTCTCGGAGACAGGTCAGGCATGGGTAAATGTAGGCTCAGGTTCAAGGACATTTGCAAGAGGGACTGGAAAACTTTCAATGCTGACACTGCGAGTTGGAAAGGCACAGCTAGCAACATGCTACACTGGATCACAGCACTGTACCAGGGAATCAAAGAGATCACTGATAAAATGCGTAAACAGCATAGAGCCAAGAACCAATCCCTGCAGGACCCCACTGGAAACACACCTGCTTAATAAAATCACCCTTACTATCAGCTTGCTGACTGTGCAAGTAGGGGCTGCAGAGACTTCAGAGTTATGCTCATATACGAAATCCTGACTGTAGGCTTTGATTAACAAATGTACACAGTAGAAAAATAACGGATACCAGAAAATCTAATATCACAGATAGTAACCACTGACTGTCTCTCTTTACAGCACTGAGTGATTCTCTGAAAAAATTGGCTTTTGGTTACTATGTGGAAATTTTTTAGTAGTTTGGCTTTGTATCAGAGGTCCTCAGCCTGCAGGTAAGGAAAATACTAAGCATGTGTCATGCCCCTCTGGAGTGATACAGTCTACATGCTTTTCTTGACTCAAGCAGATTGGAAAGCGATCACATAAAGTACATCTGAAAGGTTAGTGATTTTCTCTACTTGAATCCAACAACTTTCCCTATCGTTTCAAAATGCCCTAACCTCAGTCCAGTCCCCAACCCACACACATCAATGACAGTAATAAAGAGTTTATTAGTGCCTTGATACTATCAAAATATTCTGTATGTTGATAAACTCACTAACAATAAGGATAGAGACATGCATTGGAATATGTAAACATTCCATTAAAAAATATGTATTACCTTGTGTCTAACTGCTGGTAACGCATCTACTAACTTCTGTAGTCCTGCGTGATGAGCTCCCAGCTGCATTACACAGATATAAATGCGTAAGTCATCAAGGACACATTACAGAAATACCCACCACAAGAAGTTTAATAAAAAAAGTCTATATATTTTATCTGTTTTAATTTTAAAAAATTATATATAAAATGCATCACTACAGATGCAGTAACCATTTACCTTCAAAAATACTCCTATGACAACCAAACCATTATTCTCCATGACAGCTTCTTCAAAGCTTGTGGAAGTGACAGGATTCCAGTGTACTAAATGCAGCTGAAATACAAGTGAATGACAATTTCACACACATACACAAGACAGACAAATAGAATCAAAACAAATGCAGTTCCTCCTGGTCTTTGTCCTACATTTGGCCTTTGACAATTTGAGATGTACAGCAGCTACCTTAAAAATCAAAAGCCACAAAATGGGAAACAAAAAAAATATACTTGAAACTAGTATTTGTTTCTTTAGTTGCTTTTTTTTAACAAAAGAATGTCAGCCCCATACTTTGCATTTCACAGAAGACTGATTTTGTTTGTGGGTGATAGATTACAAGAGTGTTATTCAAAGGTGCAGAAGGAAGTTAGCTGCATTAGGCACCCAGCTCCCCTTTGTGCATTTAAAAATCAAATGGAAGATTTCCCTCATTATAAGAAAGAGATGAGAGATATAGAACAGACAGCTCTCCTAGGATTAAATCCACCCCAACCGAAGAGCCAGCCCAGCACAAAACCTATCTGCACAACTTTAAAGTGCCACGTAAGCCTTCTCAATAAGGAACGTAAGTAGTGATACGCCTTGTGCTAGCTCTCTACATGGAGGTTAATTTGACATCTTATTCATAGACTGGTTTTTAATAAATCTCACATTACCAAACAAATAAGCAGACACCACTATGGCATCATCAACGGGGCGGGGAAGGAAGGGAGGACAGAACCATTTTCAAGTCCCTCTCCATTTTCGTTGAATAAAAAGAAAATTATTTTTACATCTGTCACACTTTCCTCTCTGAGCCTAATGGGTATTTTCTCCCCTAGTCCCACCTCCTTTATTCACTGTTCTCTTATCTTAAGACTGGTCTACACTAGAAAGTAGTACTTCTTGAACTATGCTGGTATAGTTAAAGCAGCCAAACCCCGCCTCACCCCGCCGTGGTGGATCCAGTTATACTAGTATAAAAGTATTTACACCAGTTTGTAGGCTGCTGGCCTGTCCGCTCAGCACAGGAATGACTGACACCATGCCCAGAGTCTGGTTCAAGCCCTTCCAAATAAGAACATTCAATACAATTATCCCTTCTTCACTAACCCATGATCTCCTGAAAGATCCTTACTACTCCCTCCTGTCCTATACACCAACTGAGCCACTTGCTGCCTTTTATTGATCTCTACCTGATCAGTCTCAGGTGGCAGGTAGCTGATCCATCACAGGTGAGGCTGGTTCAGGGATGATAAAAATTGATGACAAAAATCTGATTTTTTTTAAATTTAAATAAAACATTTTTATTTAAATTAAACTCAGGTTTATGTTTTCAAATTAAAATTAAATTTCAAATTAAATTTGAAAGTGACAGCCAATATTAAGGCATAAATGTACAAGTTTCAAATAATCTAAATTAAATAAAAATAATAATATTAAGCAGTACATGTCTGCTGCCAACTTTTAAAGAAAGTCAAACCACTGAACCGGAGGAAGTCACTGGCTACCCACCTGTAATCAGAGTTTGCTGAAGTGCTAAACCAGCTTTTGACAGCAGTAGCCTCTTCTGCAGGTGCAGAGAGGATGTCTTTAGATTTTTACATTTCAGTTTGTTCATCTAGTTCAGTTCAATGACTATCTCATACAAAGTTAAGAAGCCAATTGGGAGTTGGAAAAGCTTGTTTTCCTCTTCCAATCTATAAACAAAAACTAGGTGAGAGAGGATGAGGTCTAGCAGTTCTAAAATCTTGAAGGACATGCCGACCAGAAACAATCAGTTTAATTCATTAACTATAGATAATACAGCCTTTTTAAATGCAAAGCATGTTTTGATAAACTTTTTTTCTTATGTATCCAGCACTTTTATTTAATAAAAGATTAAAATGCTCTTTTTGTGCCTTTTTAATTGAATTTGAATTTCCATCCAAATGGAGTTTGACACAAATCACAAGTAAAAAATTGATCATTTAGTAAATAAAAAATGCACCCCTCACATTTTCTAACAAACATAAAAATTAAGAGTCTGAATAAATGTAAGTTAAGCTATATGAGTACTTAAATAAATGGGTATAGGTACACTGTATCCTCCTGGTTAGCAAAAAACAGCACCAAATTCAGTGTAAAGGTTGTATTTAGTTGCAAACAACATATTAATGCTCACTAACTAATGAGACTCAACCTTTATTTATTTCTAGCGTAGACCAGGTCTTAGTCGCATCCCCTCTGTTTTCTCTTCTACTCTTTTCCCTAAAAGAGAGTAACACGATTTGGGCAGAGACCCAGTCCTGCCATCCCAAGCAGCAAGGACAGTAACAGCAGTGACATTTTGCTGCATGCCAAGGACTCATTCTGTGAATTTCATTATTTGCATTCAAAGAGTGCCATATACCAGAAAAAAAGTGTTACTGGAATTTTCATTCAAGCAGCCAACAACCAATTTTAGGACCATGTGCTTTTTTGGAATGGATGGCAGCTCTCGGCTTATTAACAGGACAATGGCTGAACTTTGCTGTTAACTAGCACTGACCATTACTGGTAAGCAGCAGTTCTGTACATCAACCACAGCTCCGTACTAGCTTTCTAGCCAGCATTAGGGCTGGAATCACTGAGTTCTAGCCTCCTGTTTATGCAAATAAACAGCTAGGAGTACTGTTCAGCATTCCTCCCCATACCTCTGCTGGGTAGACTTTGCTGTCAACCATGTGCTCTGAACCCCATTCATTTATGGCTCCCCAGTGGAAGTGGAACTGCTTTAGCCTGTAATGGTTTTCCAAGGGACCTCCCATAATTACTGGAAAAAAAAGAGAAAAAAGAAAAACAGTTACATATAGCTGATAACTGATTTAGAACTGCCTTAGTGACATGTGAAAATAATACAGCTTTCTTCTCTCCTTGCATTGTATGTACCCAGGAAAGCTCAGATGCAGTAACTGCTTTACAGTAATGTTTCCCCCTTAGCTAATTTTACTGCTCAATTCACTAAAGCATCTAAACAAAATTGCTTGGGGCAAGTGTGTGACTTTAATTAGCCCGCAGATGAACTCAAGCTAAAGTTAATGTCTGACCTCCCATTTTATACAGTAAACAAAGCTTCCTCACCCAACTCCCTGCAAGGGAAAGAATCTTTACAAGTTCAACCAGGATTTGTCTGGCAGAGTCATGGTGGCTATACATAACACCTTCTCTGAGCAGGTGCATCAGAAGCGGTTCAGTGGGTTGTCATTGAATATTTACATCCTCCGGATTCAAAGACAAAAATAGTCTCTCCATCTATGACATGATCAATGAAACCTGGAATTGCAGGAGATACTGGAATTTCTCAGGTGACAATACAAACCATCAATATCCTCCAAATTCTTATTCTAATTGTACGAATACAATTAGTACATTTTGGCAAACATACAATTTTAAATCTTTTTTAAATGTTACAGAAGTTTAGAAAATGTGACTCTGCAAGAACTGTGACTGACACACAAGTTTTAGAGCATCAGTCCAATATTAAACTATTTCCCAAATGCCTGTAAATATGCTGATATTTTGTATGTTGAAAACTATTTGAATGCTAATCAGGAAGTGTCTAAACACTGTCTGCATATGTGCAAAAATCCAAAGCTTGTAGAAGTTAGACTGTATTATTTACAAATGATATTTTGAATTGGCCTAGGTCACAATAGAATGTAATTCTTCCTAGCCTCATATTTATTAAATTATTAAAATAGCAACTCATAATTTAGTTTAAGTAGGCATTAGACTTTTTGTAATTGGTATACTCACCAAAACTCAAATTATGTACCTGGTTTTGAATGAACTCTTGATGTTTACCCTTTTTTCCTTGTGGGAATGATCCATGGGGTCACTCCAGATTAAAACACAGGATCCTCCTGGTTCTAAATCCCTTTTTGCTAGTCACTAGATCATAGCACCTGCTAAACTACTGGTACCAATTACATCTAAAGGACTATTAACTAACATTATTATGTGTTTTACAAACTGATTTACTGATGTTAAATATATAGTACATAATTACTATTTTATATCAAACCATTGTATAGAGTAATTAATTCTAACCTCACTCTTGGAAAGAGGGGAATTAATTCTTTCCAGAGGAGGAGAAAACTAAGGTAGAGGGATTAAGGCCCAAATTTTCAGAAGTGACCAATGATTTTGACTGCCCAATTTGTAACACCTTGGGCCTGCTTTTCGCGAGCACCACAACCCCACATCATCCACTGACCTCAGTTGGAGTGATGAAAGTTCATCATTTTTGAGAACTTTAGGCAAGTCGCTAAAGACAGAGCAGCTGAGAGTCAGAGCTTGGATTAGAACTCAGCTATTCTTGGTTTTTAGTTCCATGTTCAGTCCACTAGACAATGTTGCTTTTCCCGCCGTAGTTAAACCAGCCTAACATCTTGGCCTTGGCCTTCCAAAGCAGGTGTACTCACTTATCGGAGTAAAATCTTTCCTATGCAAGACTCCCCCAGGAATTTTTCTATATGCAGGGGGAAGCAACTCTAGAGATCAGAGTACAGACCAGGAGTCACATGGCTCATTTGTGCCAAAGACTGGCTATATGACCACTGGCAAGTCACTTGTCCTCCCTGCTCCTGAGTTTCTTCATGTGCATAATAGGGATGCTAACACTTGCTCACCTCTGTACACCACTGGGATCGGGGTAAAGGGGGGGGGGTAAAAGGACTATGGTCTTGATCCTCAGCATGGAAGTCAATGGGAATTTTGTCACTGACTTCAATGGTAGCAGGATCAGACCCTATATAATACAAGGGTGTTATTACTAACAGAGATAGTGATTTGTTCACCTCCTGGCTAAAGGAAAGATACTTGAAAACAGCTGATGGAGCCATGTCTATTTTAGAAAAATTTCATGCATTTGCCTCAAACTTCCACTCACACTGTAAAATTCCAATTATTTGTTAAAGGAGCAGTATACCACCAAGATGTACAATTTAACATCTAACACCCCATGGCCAGAGCCGGCAAAAAAAAAAAAAACCTGCGGCGCGGCCGGAGCGCAGGTGCAGGGGGACCGGCTAGCGGGGGGGGAGTGGGAGGGAGCAGGCAGGAGAGAGAGAGAAGAGGGGCGGCCAGGGCTACAGCGGTGCGCTGCCACGCGGAGCCCTCCTGCCGCACTGCGCCGCCTGCCGGGAGGGCTCTGCTCCGGTCGGCGGGGACGGAAGGATGCTCCCGTCCTCCGCGCCGCTGCCCCCTACAGGGTGGCCGGAGCGGAATAACAACAACAACAAAAAAAGCGGCCGTGCCGTCCTAGGATTGGGCAGAATGCCACCTTGTTCAATCTGCCGCCCTAAGCACCAACTTGCTCGGCTGGTGCCTGGAGCCGGCCCTGCCCATGGCTAGTTATCTCAGCTATTTCGTTGCATCAGTGAAAAACTGAACATTAGTTTTAAAATACATTAAAGCTTTCATTCTTCATTTTTTTAAAGAGGTTCAAAGGAGACAGTAAAGCAAAGTAAGTATAATGAGAGAGCACTGAGGGGGGAGGGAATTAAGACCCCACTCCTATAATGACCTCCACACCTGATCCTATTTGTACATATGCATTCATGAGTATTCAGACTCATGTGAACAGCCCCACTCACCTACACAGGTTTCCTCACATAAATAAAGTTATTCACAAGCATGTCTATTTGCAAAATCAGACCCTTATGATAGACAAAGACAATAAACAGGGTTTACAATCCCTTTCCAGTCACTGACACTTTTTGGTTTTTCATGGCCTAGAGCAATGCTGATTGGTTTCACAACACCACACTTTAAAGGGACTCCTTTTTTTTTTAAAGCAGCAGCAGCCTGTCTGAAACTTTTTTTAAAAAACCTAAAAAGACAAGGTGGGTGAGATAATCTTCTACTAGATCAACTTCTGTTGGTGAGAGAGACAAGCTTTCAAACTCACACAGAGCTGTTCTTTAAACCTAGTAATGTTACAAGTCCATTTCCATCCAATAGATGGCAGTGGTGCATATAAATAACCAGTACATTACATACCTTTCCCACACCCTTTTTTCCCTTGTTCTCTTCATTCTCTTGTTCTGCTTGTCTATAGCACCCAATGGCAGGGCTAGTCTCCTCTTTTGCAAGAGTCATGTTTTTGTCTCAGCTCAGGAGTTCAGCATTTCTGTTTACCTTGGATATTCCCTTCTCTTTTCATCATTTTGTACTTTTCTTCAACATTTTTAATCTTATTTTTCAACTCCATTGCATTTTTATCCATGTTGCTTTCACCTCTCTCTCTCTATTGCAGTTGAATGATAGAAGCTGGGAGGAAGACAAAGCAGAAAGAGAAACCAAAGATAGAGGAGGAATAAGAGAGTGAAAAGCAGACTGTGGGGGGAGAGGGGGAGAAGTTTAGAAAGTTGAAAGGTATATAAAAGAAAATCTCTGTCAAAGTAAAAGCAGAACAGGCTTAAAGTTTTCATGCACTAAGTATAGTACAATAGGATAGCTAATGAACTTGTGCTGCTTCTAAATAGTGCAATTATCCTAGACTGCTCCACTGTAACTAGCACACTAATACAATTACACCACACTGTAAAAACATGAACGTGCTACTGTGTGATTTCCTTGTTCTATATAGACCTGGATGATGGATTAATATACAACAATATTAAATTAGTGAAATAGTCAGTGACATGGGTTGTTATAACTTCAAAGAGGAACCTGGAAAGACACAGGACTTTCAGAAATGGTGTACAGAAGCTGTAGCAAATGAGGTCTACACACAAAGTAGTTACATAACAGGCATAGCAATTTGGCCAGTAGGAGATGTTTTGGTACGCACAACCAGTTTGGGAGTGACTTTAGGATCTTCTGTTCCCAAAGACAGAAAAAAGGGAGCGATTATCATCAAATGACATGGGTGTTAACACTTGCAAATCTCTACTAATAGCAACAGAAGTGCAATGCACAAATGTTTATGACAATAAGGAGGGGCAGACAGGTGCTTGATGCTAAATTTTGAGGGGGAAATGATGGCTCAGAATGACTGGATAAATAGAATTCCCACACTTCCCTCCATCACGAGATCTGTTTCTGTGCTTGTAATAAGTGAGAACAGGGACAGTCTCCACTCCAACATCTGAATCCCAACACCGCAAAAAAGTTTTCCATAATGCTATTATTTGGGCAAATGTTACTTGCTTATGAGCAACTTCAGGACTTGTTAATCTTCCTTTTCTTGTTAGCCTGGGGAACCCAGCGTTCTATGAAGAAGCCACAATAATGGATCTCTTTTATAAGATTGTTTTCTCAATCCCTCTCCTAACATAAGCCAAAAAAAGTGTTGGTATCATAGAAATAAGATGTTTACGAATATAGCACTGGGACACCTTCCCCAGAGTTTTTCTGATAGAGGTATTAAAACTGTGAACCTCCTAAGCTAGAGATGTTCACAAGCCTTTTCCTCCTGCCCCACAATAGTCTCAAGCCTTTCCTGCACTGGATAAATACTCATCCCAGACCACCTGTGATTCTAATTGGTAAGGTCTGAACTCATCCAACTCTAAATATTATCTTTCCACACTGACAATTTGGATAACTAGAGTGAATCAAATGCTATCCAATATCTGTGACCAACTGCTACTACTTAATAGATGTTATTAAATATTCTATTCATACCTAATCGTAATAGAAAACTGCACTAATATGCTTTTGTCAAATAGATTTTAAGAGGATCAAGGATGAAAAATCTTGAGTTTAGCAGTAATATCTTGAATTTAAACTCACTTGAATTTGCAGTCCAAATTTTAAAATGTATCTGGCAGAGATAAAGCAGTTAGCTGCTATCTATTGGTAGAGCGTGGAGATTTTTTTAAAGCAACCTGATCACATGTATTTGCTTACCACATTATCAGATCAGCATTATTTATTTTCCTCAAGAGTTTACTCAGATTAAATAGTTCTAACAGAACAATGTACTCTTCAAAAAGGAACTGCACCTTGCTGCCTGATTATTTCAAATGCATTACTTTTCTGTTAACACAAACAGATAAACAGCCGATTATTTCATTAATGTTTAATTCCCAAATTACAATTTTACATCAAGTACATGCATGCAAGCACTACCTAAAAAAGACAATGAGGTAAAATCAAAAGGAAGGACATAAAGGCTTGTGCAACAAGCGTAGAAGAAGGTTTGCACAATACATAACTTAAACCCTTAATACAGGGCTTTAGTGGAGTTTGTGTAGAACCAATGCATTGCGATACTGATTACAGTGAATCCTTGCTTAGAGAGAAGCTATTCCGTAAAAGGGGGAGAAAAGGCACCTTCTTTAGAAGAGGATTATACTCTAAGTTGGTTTTCAGCCTTTGTTTTCTGATTCTTACTGAGAGAGAGAGACAAACCTTACAGTATGGCATGGACAGGATTTTTCAGCTGCAGACAAATAACACATCAACCTGATCTTGTTGCACTCCTTACCTGATTTGTCTGCAGAATCGTCAAATTCAACCTGGAACGAGTACCCATTGTTCCAGATATAGAGACATGTGGTTGGGTCATAGTGGATTTTCAGGGGCTTCAGGTGAGGGTCGTAAACACTGTCTCTCCACTGGATGTTGATTGGAGACTGCCGAGTGCCCCCAGAAACGGAAAGCTCGCTCTGCCAAAGCGGATGCACTAGAAGCAGAACCCAGAATCAGTCTCTAATGTATTGTAAAGAATTTATGACAGAATATGTTGGATCTTTTGGGCGACAGAAAGTGCCTCAGAATATGACTTTCAAAGGCTAGATTCACATCAGCTAGTCTACAAGAAAATAAAAGAAACAGTACATTCCACTTGTATGACTCAGATTTACCCAGGGAAGTGTAGTAACTTGCTTCATAGCGGTGTCTGTCACAATAATAAACCTATTCAAAGCAATTCTGTTTTCTCTCATTTGTCAGGGACAGATTTTTCCTCAATTGTCCATAGATGTACATAGGTCTTCTGTTTCGCTACTTAACTTATATAGAGCTGTGTCATGTCACTTAATTTTTGCTTATGTATAGGCATGACAGGATTCAATTTTAATAACTATCAATAAAATGTGGATTTCAGCTGACACACTGAAATCGACAAAAAAAGTCAGTCAGTAACAATCAGCGTATCTGCAGGGATCAGGTATCACCGTGTGCAGGGAGCCCTCTGTAGCCCTGCTGTTACGGGAGTGAGTGAGCAGGTCCATGAAAGCAGAACTACAGAGCTATGCTTCCTCAGGGCTGGTAACACCCATTCCTTGCAGGATCAAGGTGTGGGGGGAGGCTGTGTTTGGCCTGGCCCAGTGGAGCAGAGACCCCTGGTGCGGACGGCATGGAGGATGAGCCCCCAGCTGAGGGAGAGGTCACCCTGCTGCTGAACAGTTCCTGCCAGAGGATGGCTCCCACACTCCCAGCTGGTGGTTGAGCGAGTGAATGGGGCCGGTAACACCCTATCCCTGCAGGCACAAGGTGAGGAGAAGGCTGCGGTCCTGGCCTGGTGGAGCATTGATTCCCCCAAGCCAGAACTGCACGGAGCCATCGTCGTTGTCATCATCCCCAGGAGTGGGGAAGGCCACCCTGCTGCTGAATGCCTCAGTCCCCAGGCAGGAACCATTGAACAAAGGGGTGGCCCCACGGCCAGCAAATCATCCTCCTCCTTGCGGTCCTGGCCAGAGGTCTCTGCTATGCCCCACACCTTGTGCCTGTATGGATCTTGTGCCACCAGGCCCGTGGCCATGCAGGGAGCCCTCAGCAGGTCTGCAATCACCATCCACGAGTGTGGAGCCGATTCTGGGCAGGAACTCTTCAGCAGCAGGTTGACCTCCCTCGCAGTCATGGCTTGTCATCCTCCTTACCGTCCAGATCTCTGCTCTGCCAGGCCAGGACTTCTGCAGCCTCCCCCACACCTTGTGCCTCAGTGTCTTGGCCCTCCCCCACTGCACAGGGAGCCCCCTGCAGCCCCACAGTCAGCAGTGCCCTACCCCCATCTCCCACAACTGTCAAAATAAAGTTAAAAATTGAAAAAAATCATCACAATTAGAAAAAAAATTCAATTCTGCCAAGCCTACTTACGTACCAGTATGACCAACTGACATCAGCGCAGCTCCAGAGGCAGCAGGTTAACTGCCAATTCAGAATAAGAATATTTTTTGGAAGGCTTCATAAAAATTGAGTCTTTCCCCATCACCCTTCTCTGTTTATGTGGCACATGGCTGGTAATGGATCCCTATTAAGCACTTCTAAAGCACTTATTACAATATCATCATTGATCTCGCAACGTGGAATAAAAAGGCAGATCTTTGTGCCTGCAAGGAGCCCGACTAACTGTGTAGGCAGATCAACTTGCAGGATTGGGACCTATGCATGTACCCAATTTCCAGATAATCATATTCAGCTCCCGTAAGGAAATGAGAATGAGGAGGCTGACAAAACCTGCCTGGATCTGGGAAGTGGGGGGGGGGTGTGCTAATGGGCAGTGGTTTTCATAGTCAATGGACTACTGAAGGTCCACTGACAAATTTCTGGTAATCTACCAATTGGCCTGAAAATTAACCATAAAATTTTTGGAAGTGAGATGGGCTCAGCTATTTTATTAAAAGAATGTGTACAAATTTACCAGCCTCATTTTCTTTTATGTGAAAGGAAAGGTTAAATATTGTAACAGACCATTCACGTGACAGGGTGACTAAACCATTTTCCCTCCAGCCCCTCAACAAGAACCTGGGCTTGCTGAAGGTCACTGCTCCTGAGGAAGCTTGCAGCACTGCAGCTCACTTATATGTCAACCAGTGCCCAATCAGGACCTCACGTCTAGAGGAAATGCACACATTTGTCTCCTATTATTGTTAACACTGTTTCTGGACACTGTAATCAGGTAAGTGTAATTAACAAGCTGCTGTAAATCTCAGCCACTTTTATGTAACTTTGGAAGAACAGGCAGTCTATCAAAAAAAGCGGAACTGCAAATGTAAATTTAAAATTAAACAGAGACAGAAAAAGAGGTGATGTTAAAGAGGATCTTTTGCATAGGTTTGGGATAGCAAGAAAGGATGTGAGAGTCAGTACTCACTAGCTGGAAGGACTCAAACTATGACAGTACAGCTGAAGATTATGACTTCTGCTATCAATTACCTCTTGTGCCAAACTGATCACAATGCATCTATATTAACACTGAAGATGCAACTGTTCATAGCATTGTGATGAACTGGTGGCACACGCATTAAAATTGCATATTAATACATGGTTGATGGTCTGGCAATTCCCCCCCCTCAAAAATGGCCTCTTGCAATAAGTTGGACAACCAATCTTGGGTAAAGAGGAGAAGCCAAAATAATTAAAAGTTGGAGGATTTCTTTTTTTAAAACGAATCGCCTGATAGAGGAATGGAAAACAGCACGTATGCAGAAAACCAGGTGCTTTTAGGAATGAAACCAGGCCAGTTGTGAACTAGGAGAAGAGGGTTGTTTACAAGGGACTGAGCCTGGATCTGATGGGGGGAGCGAGAGACCTGCAGGAGGGAGGCTGAATGCATCCACCCTGGGTGCAGGGCAGTGCCTAGTGTGCAGGGTGCCCTGGAGTCCCCCAGGGAGGGGTGCAGGGTGCCCGGGGGAGGGGACGGGATGCAGGGGCTGCCCTGGGGCAGAGCGGTTCAGGGGGGCTGGAGGTTTCCGGGGGCTGAGAAGAGCTGGGTGCCCAAGGAGGGAGAGGCTGTGGCAGGCTGGGGGAGCGGGTGTAGGGTTCCGGGGGGATTACCCCGAGGCGGGACTATCCCGGGCCGGGCGGGGCATGAGGGCTCTGGGGCGGATGGCCCGGGGGAGCCGCCGCAGGGCCCGGGGGTCGGACTCACGGGCGTCGCGGAGGCGGTAGGAGGAGCAGGCGGCCAGGCTGCAGGGTCTCGCCCCCCGCGGCTCGGTGCAGGGGGCGGCGGGCGGGCGGAGGCGCTGGGCCGAGGCCGCCAGGGCCCTTCGCAGCAGCTGCAGCGGCATCTCCGCGGGGCCCACAGCGCCGCGTCCGCCCTGCGCCAATCCTCGGGGCCTGGCCCTGCCTTCGCCTCAGCCGGCCCCGCCCTCCCCGGGCCCGCCCCGAGCCCGCCTGGCTGCCAGAGCCGAGGGCGCGGAGAGGAGCTGGCAGCCTCGGGGCCCTGGGTGGGAGCTCGCGCCCGTCTGCCCCTCCCAGTCTCCCTGTCTGGGCCCTGCCTGTAGCCCTCTCTGTCCCCCCGCCTTGTCTGGCCCTGCCGGTAGAGTGTCCATCTCCATCTGTCTGTCCTGCCCTGGCCCTTCCATCTCATTGTCTGTGCCCAGTGTATCTGGCCCTGCCCTTAGATCCTGTCAGTCTGTCCTCTGGTCTGTCTGTCTCTGCCCCCCGTCTGTCTGGCCCTACCAGTAGACAACTGATAGGAGCAGTCCTGGGCACCCTGGTCTGTCTGTCACTGGCCCTTAGACTCTCATTGCATGTACCACCATCTGTATTTGCTTTTGATTCTCGCCTTACCTACACCTAGGGTGACCAGATGTCCCGATTTTAGGGTCTTTTTCTTATATAGAATCCTATTACCCCCCACTCCCTGTCCTGATTTTTCACACTTGCTGTCTGGTGACCCTACCTACAGCCGTCCTGTTGTCCCTTTGACTTTCCCTCTGGCTGTCATACAGTCTGACTCTGAAATAGAAGTTTTGCACATTGCTGCCTCGTCCCCCAGAACGCTAGTGTTGTGGCAGGTCGCATCCCACCGCAGCGCAGTCATTTTTCAACAGTTGAGATGCTGCCGTGCACGTTGCAAGATGAGAAAGTCTGGACAGTCCTGCAAAGGGTAAGGCAGGTAGCAGCCTTGCTGTGCCCCACTCCTCCGGCTGAGATCTCAGGGTACCTTACTGATGTGACTGAATTAATGCTCATAACTCCCTGTTACCAGGGCAGAAACTAAGGCGTAGAGGCTGTGATTCACTAACATTTGTTCTTAAAATCTCTGTTATACTAGCAAAAAGAACAGGAGTACTTGTGGCACCTTAGAGACTAACAAATTTATTAGAGCCTAAGCTTTCGTGGACTACAGCCCACTTCTTCGGATGCAGAAGTGGGCTGTAG